TGGTACTATACACATAAAGCCTGGCATAGAAATGAATATCATATATATACACATTTGTCAGTACGGCTGCTGACATGGTTGGTATATTGCCACTGTGTGTCACACCTCTTCTATATCATGGACACGGAAAAACCTTTATCAAGGGCACAGCGAGGATACACCTGTGCAGGTACTGGCTCACTTGCCCCGAATCTACACTGCTCTCAATAAAATCCTGGCTCAGCCCTCACTCACTTCACCTCCATTCTTCACATTAGATCAATAACTGAATGTTCCTGCTGCCACAACTGTCAGACTTAACACAAGCCATCTGGTTCACCTGCCTGGTGTTCGTCAGTGTAGGTTCCAGTTCTTTTGTTCTCTTTAGTCTTTTTACCCCTTTGTAGCTCTCTTTGGCTTCTACGTCCTACATCTCACATAGGAGTGAAGATAGCAGGGCATCGCAGTCCCGGCAATATGGATCCATTAGAACCTTGTTATTTCAAAGAAATTCTACTTGTTCACAGATTCCTTCCTGCTGAATTGTACGTTATGTGGAACCGGTTACATGATCCTAATCTGAAATGCTTTCACAGTAACAAATAGCAACTTACAGGAGATGAAAATGTTTACTAGCGCTCATTTTTGCTCAACAGCCTCTTTATCAGGTACACTTCTACAATCTAATGCAATCCGATCCAAAAACAACAATTCTACTGTTAGTAAGATCCTGCTAGTGATCAAATCAGAACTTTTTTTTAGAGACGAAACAAAAAAATCAAAAAAATATTTACACCAAGTGGTGCTGATCACTGGATTTCTGTCATTAACTTTATTAAAAATATGAAATAATGTTTTAGTTTGAGCTGATGTTTAACCTTCCTTGTATCCATTCAAAATCTATTCAGAATTGTTGCATTTGTGACATTTGTGGGAAAAAACAAACAAAAAAGATTGAATGTCAACTATAAAGCTTTGTATGTGGTATTAACATGTCACCTTGTCTGCAGAACTTTGATCGGCTCTTGCTCCTCTTACTGTTTGTTGTAAAGATTAGCTGAAGGCCTCTTGATTGTTTCTTCTCGTCTTGGTGGTGGAACGCGATGATATGAACCCTATCACATGTGTCACTCAGGTGGAGCCTATATAACATACTGATGTCTTTCTCCTGCTATGATTGTTGATCTTGAATAAAAGAGAAGTGCATTTGGAGCCAGTGAAAGAATGTTTTTTATTTCCACATTCATGGATGAAAGTAAACCTTCTTTGCTGTCCTGTAAGTGCTTAAAATATTGGGCCAGAGTCACTAGGCATGGGCAATCATGCAAACCCTAGAACAGCTGGTGACGCAATCCGGCGTCTGAACAGAGCAGGCCCAGGCAGCAATCCCCTGTACCGGACCGAGGCGACGTCCGCTCTGAGTGATAAAAAAAAAAAAAAGAATGAAAACAAAACAGAAACGAAACAAGAAAAACATTTAAAGAACTAAAACAGCGGCGCAGTTCAGGTAGTGGTGGTAAAATAGAGATAAGCTTGATCTGTCACATAAACATTTGTACACGGTACAATGCGCAGTGAAATGTGTTTTGTACCAGCATCCAGTTTCAATAAAAAAATAAATGTTCAAGAAATACATATGTCTTATGTATACATATACATAAATGTGGTGTATTCACCATATAATAATCGTGTGATGTTATAGGCACGTAGCTTTTTGTACCAGTGTGAACACCGTAGAGATCGGGTTGCTAGGTTGCACAAGCGCACTGTTATTGTTGTGATGAAAAGCATGGCTATTAAAGAGCATGGAATAGATGTCTGCATGCGTCTGCCTTGTAAGTACTCTTGCCAAAGAGACACAAAACTTTACAACCCAGGTCACAGGAAGGTGTAAATCAACTGATCACACCATCGAGAGCTTCAAAGGGCAGCTGACAGATAAGAGACATGCATGGAGAGGAAAAAGAAAACATCTAACCACTTTGATTATCAACCCCCAAAGCCCAAAGAGCCAGACCTGGCTTAACTAGCCAAATGGTGGCATGGAGAACAGACATCTGGGTGACTTTTATTGCTCTACTGCCCCTCTCTCGCTCTTTCTCTCGACCTGCAATAATGGATGGACAAAGGAAAGCACAAGAAGATCTTAATGTGCCTTTACTATCTTGTGTTATTTTAAGTGTTGTTAAATTGAAAGTACATAATATCATGGTAAACACCCCAAAAGCTTAATCACAGTTGGATAAGTCCTTCTTTAATTTATCAGCTCGTTACAAAATCATATATCCTAGTACTGTATTATCTTTGTAACCGTGAGAGATAAATATCTCATGTTTAGACTCTTTGCGATCCTCTAAATGTGAGATATTAATTTTCAACAGGCTTAACTCTGTATAACTACAAGTACATATAGTTCTAAAGTAACATTATCAGTTTTAGAACAAAACTCCTGACCACCCACAGGGCTACACTTAGAGACAGACAACCAAGCACACTCACATTCACACCTACGGACAATTTAGAATCACCAATTAACCTAAACATGTTTTTGGACTGTGTGGGAGGAAGCCGGAGAACCTGGAGAGAACCCGCACTGCACGGTAGGAACGTGCAAATTCCACGCAGAAAGATCCCGGTCTTCTCACCCTCTCACCTTACTCTTAATGACAGTACCTAGGGGCAGATCACACAACAAGGATGTGCCACATCTTAATTCAACATAGAATGCGGCACAACAAGAAACACAGGTTTGTCTTACAGTATGAGTTTATGATGATTTGTTTCCGGTAAAAACGTCCATGGTGCAGGATTGGCAGATAATGTCCTGTTAGGTTTCATTTTGTGTCACTACTTCATCTAAACTAAATTAAGGATTTCAATCTGCATTTACATGCAGACAAAAATACTGATCAATTGTTTGTGCAACACTGATTCTGACAACCAGATAGCAGCCTGTAATATTGTACACACTTTGAATTTCTCTTCTTTACGAAACCTGAGCAGTTTAACCTCAACAGACCAACAACACTGTAAATGAAGCATAAAAAAACAAAACATTCTTTAGTCCAATCAAAGTTTATACAGGC